ACTTCTATGAGGTGGGGAGGCATCAGCTTTGAAGAAATAGGAGAGCACATACTAAAAGAATAATGAACACATCACACCCCATCGATTTGCCGTATCTTCCACACTGCATATTGCAGCATCATATATAAAAAGCATCATCATTATATAATGAATAAATTATTATGATGCTCAGCATAGAACAATTCCAACTCCTGTGAAATTAAAAATAGTCAAACTATAGATATACAACAGAAGAGAAACGTAAAAGCCCAAGATTTTAAAGATAGTGCAAACAATAAAGAACAACAAGAATGGTATTCTGGGTAAAAAGTCATCAAGTGACATATAGGCATTTATACAGTATTCACAGGGGTTGGGTCCCGGAGCAAATGGATAACCAACTTTCCTGAATACAGTATCAGGCATACGTCTCTAAAAAACAAAACTCATTAAATGCTTTCACTTACCCTAACAATTTTGTTGTTGTTGGTTCTCTTAAGAAAATGGAATACTGTAGTTGAAGAAGTGTTACCGGTTAGCAATTAAGTGCTAGGGTGTCACTGGAACCTGAGGATTGAACTTAATATAGCCACATAATGCAAATGTACAGTATACTTATAATCAAAATGTAATTATGGTAACCACGTAATCCTTTGGATATGAGGGTTATGTAGATACGACATCTGTGATTACAGTACAAATGCCAGTTTGCCAAGGTAATGACAATTAGGATACTAGTTCTTGCTAGGGTTAAATACTGTTACATATTAACTGCCCTATTTAAGGCAGGCTAAATCTGCTGACCTTCAGAATATAAGTACTATAATAGAGCAAAGAACATTTACTGTCTAAAGGCATTCAAACAAATTAAAAAATGCTTAAAATCTTAAATTGTATTCCCTGGAATAGAGGCAAGAAATTTATTACAATCTACATCTGCAGAATAATGGAGGGACTGGTTCTAAATCTGGAAACTAAAATACAGGAATTTCTCACTAGTCCAGGAGCTATAGTACAATGTACTCGCCTAGTTTTGCTTGCGGGGCTTGAGCTCTGGCTCTTTGGTTTCGCCAACAGTAACCAAAATGTGGAAAAAAAAAGAAAGTTTAAAAGTTATAAGGCTTCTCAAAAACTCTTCCAGTATAAAGGAATTGATCAACACCCCTAAATGTACTTGAGACAGCACTTGAGAGACCACTTAAGAAGACGGTGTCCCTGACCAGATGGCTTGTGCTGCTGGCATTGGACTATGAGCTATAAACACAAATTAGGTTACCATCCAAGGACAGGGACTCCCAAAAACCACAAAGAGGAAGGTAGCCAGCCCCCCAGCAGCCGTCTACTGGAGCTGGCAGACTTATGGCTCGAGCAATCCAGTACACACACACAAACACAAACACTTTACACTGTCTCTGAGCAATCATACTTAAAACAGTTAAAAATGTATACTGATATAAAATTCCACTGTTATATAAATGATACTTATTAATAAGAATATTAAAAAAAATCAGCACTGCACAAGCTCCCCAATAAATATAATTTAAGAAACATTATGTCTAAGCTCAAGCACACATACTGGCAAGAGTAATTCAACAGCGAGGTCACTCTCAACAATCCTCTGGAATTAAGAGAGACTACTCTGCTGTATGTGTATTTATAAAATCTGCAACAATATATGTCATTAAGTTATCGCCCTTAAAAAAACGATTATATAATGCAAATGATGTTTTCTAACTTGACTGGCACTATCAATTGTCACCTGACAATGATTACAAGTGAAGCTCTTAGCCATTTCGTTGTGTTGGAGGTACATCTTAACCACATAAATCTAATACTGTACACTATTTTTAAGATGATCTCTTGCCTATAGAGCAAAAATATTATACTTTACATCTGTTTGAAAATTATTGTCAATAAAATCGAGCAAATTTCATATGTAGTTTCAGTAACTGTGTACTGACAAGATCATTTAGCCTATATGTCGAGCAAATTTCACATGTAGTTTCAGTAACTGTGTACTGACAAGATCATTTAGCCTATATGTACACCCACCTTGTTTTTCTGTCAATTATCCTTAAAAGCATCAAGTATTTCAAGTTTAAATGCAGCTCCTTAACTTTTTCCAGTGCAAGCCCCAGAATGAACACAGTGTTTACATATATAGGGAGAACATGGAGGGTGTTCATACAGAGTGGCACATCAACTCCTCGTACTTCCAAGTTATCACACACTCGAGTCTTGGCATCTCGTGGGCTAATACCCAAAATACTTAAGTTAGGTAAAAGGTCATCTACGTTTCCTGTAGAATTTGGTATCACTTTAGTAGGTCTAAACAAATGTATAACTACTGTAAATAATGTGAGGTAACTTGCAAGAGGCCACAAGTTTAACAGTAAATCCTCACACAGGATGCACCACCATTTTTCTCCATTTGATTATCAGACAGTTGCCATAGTACAGTATACTTATAATTACTGCAGCTTAAATTTGTATGAGTAAATGCAATTAACATGTTTTTAGGAAATACTATAGATTAATCCTCAACAATTTCTTATAAACAAACATGTATTAAGTGCATTGCACGACGCAACTCGCAGGTCTTATTTTGTACATCAAGGTTCATTTCTCTTGAAACATTCTGACTATTCTACTAGTCACTAATACATTCTTTTTGAACTAATGCTTTGAACTAACTCATCCTCGATGCCATCTTTTTTTTTTTTGCTAGTGAAGTATCGAATTTAATATTCAAACTAACAAAATATTTTATATTTCTGCTTTATAGAACCATACAATCATACTCTGTTCACTGATAAGCATTCTAGCTTTATTTTTCATGCTTATCTCTTCTTTGGTCGTATTCATAACATTTTTGTTTGAAAAAATACAACACACACATTCCTTGCATTTCCCAAAATTAAAACAGAGTGATCAATTGGATTTTAATTTATCAAGTTTCATGCTCGCCAAATAATGAATACTTTAAACATACAACACCATAACAAATACAAATAAATCCCACTAAAATGATGTATGTCGAGAAAATAAGTTTGAGCAATGAAGTGACTGGAATCGGTGATCAATGAACTCCTAGCCACGCATCTTACCCTTGCATGACGGCTTGGTATAAGCTATACAACCTGGGATTCTACCGAATCCACTGTCGCCTGGAGGACTTCAGTGGAATCCCGGGTTGTATAGCTTATACCAAGTCGTTATACAGGGATAAGGTGCGCAGCTGGATGTTCCTCGATTGCTGGTTTAAATCACCTCATTGTTCCAACTGATTTTCTCACTATAACAAATAATTTTATGGGCGTTCCAAAACATGAAATAATAAAATATACTGTAGAAAATAGAAAATATATAGAAAAATTAAGTTTGTATTTTGCTCCACAATAATCAAAATGCAGACAAGCTCCCTACATCCAATAAAATTGTGTTCATATTCTCCAAACTCAAGGAACTCGGTGAATACCACCATTCCCGATAAGAAAAAATACAGGAATATACAGGTCTTTTCTTTTTCTATCAATATCATTATTTATCAAATTAAATTAAATACTACTGTATATGCAAAATTTCTTATGCATGCAAATAGTCAAAGGAATTTATGACCAGTTCAAATGGTCCAAACGGGACCTTTATCAAGCCGTATGTGATAGTTCCTTTGACTGGCGAAGGACTAATTATATAAATAAAAATCTTGGTGACATTTGCAATCTTACTAGCTATATAGTACAGAATTTGATATAAAAGAAGGTGGAAAGGTTAAAGCTTCATAGGGGATAGATTAGTACGAGGGCATTGGTAAAAATTCACTAACTTATCCTATGGAGTAATACTGTAAAATTACCATCCAGCCTAAACAGTTACCTCTCATATCGTGTTCCTTTTTTAACAAAGAAAACTTAAACAATACAGTATTATACAATTCATATACAGTGACACCTTGACTTACGATTTCCCCGACTTACAATAATTTCAAGTTACCATGTAAATTTGATAGAAAAATGCGACTCGACTTACGATAGTGTCGTCGACTAACGATATTACATGTTTGGGTTGACCGAGCGCGTAGTTCCCGGTCACGTGGGCCGACCTGCCTCAGTTTACTAGAGCTGCCCGCTTAATGACGATCACGCCTATAAGAAATTCTGTTTTTGTTGTGATTTTTTGCTTTTTGAACATAAAACTGATTATTATATATCATGCCATGGGTCCCAAGAAAGCCAGTGGCAAGGTTCAACCTAAGAAAATAGTTGTGTGTAGAGGCAATAGAGGATGTCCCTTCCTCATTAAGAAAATGTGTGAAGTATGGGAAGAACTGCAAAGTTTTGTTGAAAAAATTCACCCAAATAAAGCTGTAGCAGGCCATTGCATTGACCGTTAAATGACAATGTGATGTCTTACTACAGACAAGTGTTAAAATGTAGGAAAAAAAAAAAGTGTCTTTAGACAGATGCTTAGTGAGACAAGCAAGCAGCGAGCCACAAGCAGGTCCTAGTGGTATGCAGGCAAATCATGCCAGAGAGTGTATCCCAGAAAAGTAATCACTGCCTGATGTTATCTCATATTGGGACATCAGGGATATCATACTGTTTGGAAGGGGACTCCCCTTCCAAACGGTAACACCTCTCCTCCTTCCCCCTTATCACCATCTTCCATACCGCATCAAGAGTCCTCCATAAAGGTAAGATAAACATATGTACTGAATTATAGTTAGAGAAAAAAATTGTATTCAGTATAATATGTATTTGTATGTTAATATTTTGGAGGGTGGGGACCAGATTAATTCAATTCTCTTATTTCTTAAGGGAAAAATTTCTTTGACTTACGATACGTCTCTGGGAACGGATTACCATCATAAATCGAGGCCCCACTGTATATAATTATACAATATAGATATCAAGATTAGCCATCTTTGAATACTAATTCCCAATAAATTTGAATATAAAATGTCGGAGGTTAACAGAACATTTTCAAAGTGCACATCAATGGGTTAAAAGATATTGCTGATGAACAATGTTATTAATTTAATAATTATACTTGTTCATATACTGTACAATACAAAATGCAGGGCACTCAAGAGCAAATAATATCTGTAGATTTGCCCTCACCACAATACTGTATAGTACCATATTACAAAGACCTACGGTGATAATTCTTTACCTTCACACCACATACAGCCAAGATACACAGTAAGAACAAATGTTGTGCATCAGTGATGTACTACTTCATGCATTAATAAATATTACAGTATTTGGGGAAAAAATTAAAAATAAATTTATCAGGCAAAATATTAATACTGTACAGTGGAACCCCGGGTTACGAGCATCCCTGTTTTTCGGGTTACGAGCCCAATTTGTTCAGAAAATTTGCATCGGGATACGAGCATTGCATTGGGTAACGAGTTTGTTGATACGTGTACGAGCCAACCTAGCACGTGGTGGCACGACGATCGCGCCTCAGTTTAACAGTGCCTCACGCCCAGTGACTATCTCGCCTGAATTCTTCACAAGGATTTACAGTTTTTTGTCAGATACTTGGCCACTTGAGCATAAAAGTTGTTATTATATATCTCGCCATGGGTCCCAAGAAAGCCAGTGGTAAGGTTCAGGCAAGAAATCGCATGCGAGGATGACAAAGGAAAAACAAGAGATCATTCGGAAGCATGAAAATGGTACTCATGTTGTTGAACTAGCTAGGTAGTACAACAAATCTTCAGGGGGCGAAAAAGGAGGCAGTAGAGAATGTCCCTTCCTCATTAATTAAGAAAATGTGTGCAGTATGGGAAGAACTGCAAAGTTTTATTGAAAAGAATCACCCAAATAAAGCTGTAATAGGCCATTGCATCGATCTTTTTAATGACAATATGATGCCTCACTACAGACAAGTGTTGCAAAGAAGGGAAAAACAATATTCAATGAAACGTTTACTTGTGAGGAAAGTGAAAAAATCAAGCATTGAGCCACAACCAGGACCTAGTGGTATGCAGGTAAAACATGCCAGAGTGCGCATTCCAGAAAAATCTTCACTGCCTCATGTTATAATGGAAGGGGACTCCCCTTCCAAACAGTAACACCTCTCCTCCCACCTCCTCACCATCTTCCATACGCCAACAGGAGTCATCAGCAAGGGTAAGTACAGTAATAACTTGAACATACTTTTGTAGCGTAGATTTGGATGAATTAGGTATAAAATTTAGTTTGAAGTGAGGTTTTTGGATAGTCAGGAACGGATTAATTCATTTCCCATTATTTCATATGGGAAAATTAGCTTCAGTTTACGAGTTTTCAGGTCACGAGCTGTCTCCAGGAACACATTAAACTCTTTAACCAAAGTACCCCTGTATTACCAAACAGCAGCGTGTAAGCACAACAAACTGAGAAATTGCATGGACTAGTCAATTCAATATTATCAACTGCTTGTAGTGATGTTAAATCAACACATGAAAAACAAATATGGTAAGGAAAAAAATAATATTGCAAGGTAATATTTAGGTGAATTTACCGAGGGCCACCATCTGTCTAGTGGCTTCAACAAGAACAGGAAGCAGGTAGTTTGTCACCATTTTTCCTGCATTATTTTATCCAGCTGGATTTTAAACTGCAGCAACGTCTTGACATTTACGGCTAAGGCAAGTAGGCGGTTTTTCATCCATACAGTTTTAACTGTATGGATGAAAAAACATCTTATTTCATTGTTTTTTGAGCTTGAAGCCATTGTTCATTGTGTTACATTTGACCTTTTAAAGAAATGGTCTGGGTTAAGATCCTCCAAAGTGTTCAGTATTTTAAAAGTTTCGATGAGATCAGCCCTGCCCTGTCTGGTTTGCAGTGTTAGCCCTATAGCCCTCTACCATTATCAGAGTTGACTCCACTTATGTGATAATTTTTAGCTTTCTTCAAAGTAGCTATATCCTCCTCAAGATAGGGTCTCCATGCTTTGAAACAATAGTCCAAACTGGGGCTGCACAAGCGATATATACAGTTGAATAACTACCTTTTCCTTAAAGTCAGAAAGTCAGTATTAACAATGTGGCATTCTGTTAAAATAATCATGTTCAGTTTTACTTTAAAATAATTAAACAGCCACGAGGAACAGTTCCAAGTTTTCCCCCAAGTGTCAGCCTTATCACACTATAGTACACAAGTCAAAATTTTAAGGAGTCTAGAAATCTATACAAGTAATTCTAATTTTGAAAAGCGCACCTTTATAAATATTTACCAAACCTGAACACGAAAGAACACCCTGAGATGTGTTCAGAAAATCATTATTCTTATCAAGCAGCAGCCTCCTACACTTCCTGCACTCACAAAATTTAACTTTGAATTAAACAGTGTTTTCATGGTTATCCTCTATTGAATATACACACACTGTAGTTACTAGTTCACAGTAGATACATGACATTAGAGCATAGTTCTTTACCTGTTAAAAATGCCAAATATTCACCATTTGTTCATCTTCATCATCTTGTTTTTTATGGTGTATATAACAATTTACAAGAACTAAGCACCTGGTCTTAAACAGCAGTGGGATGCTGTGGATTATTGCTGGAGTGTGAAGGTCCTGCTTATTTATGATGCTATACATCATTATGAGTGGCAAAATGAACTAGTGATATTTTTAACGTTAAATATCTAACATTTAGTTCACCTTTTTTGTTTTCCCTCCTGGTGGGTGTCTCCCCATCCATGAAATTACAAAAATGGCATAATTATGTATTTATGTAATATATACGTACGTATAACTATTTAGGCTTACTTAAAAATGTCTATAGGAAGCAAGGTCCAGTACATTCATGCCTCCCAATATTCTAGTACCCTGTAGTGGCTCTAAGCTGCAAATGGAAGCAGCCTCAACCATGTGCAGGTTTTGTCCTTTTATCTACCAGTGCTTACTTATCAAGTGTGTACAGGAAGCAAGATTTGGCTCCTAAAGATTTGCCTTCTAAGTACAGTATTGATACTTTAATTTTTAAAATCTTTCACATTTTCTCTTAAAACTAGAAGAGATGACTCCTGTGAGCAACTTCATGGCATTCTACTTGGCCATTTCCATTCAATATAGATTGGCCTCTTCCATTTCTAACTTTTATCAATACAGTATTCACTTATCTTGCTTGGAAACGTCTATCCATTTTGTCCATTACCCTCATTTTGTACGCAGTCAACATATCTCCTCCCCTTTGATAGTTAATTAAATTAAGCTTTACTGTCATGTATTAATTCCATTTCAGGAACCAACCTTGTTGCAAACCTCTGAACTTTTAAAGTAATCTTCCGATGCTTCACAAAATCATAACTTCCCATTCGTATGGCTTTTCAATTTGTTTAACATACCCAGTGCATATTCTTGAAGGCCATTTCAGTTTTGAAAAGCAGTTACTTCTTGATTCTTTGGTTGTAATTACATTGGCGACTCTTTGTTACCCCCAATATTCCGTTATACGTAGTTTAAAGCAATGGCTGCCAAACTAGTACAGTACTATAAATTTCTATCATATCCACATACAATCCAAATAAAAAAAATTTGCCTTTTACTGCCTACTCTAGCTCTTTCCATTTTCTAACTACAGTACACCCAGGCTACAGAAACTTCTTACATCCCTAAGACTCGCAAGTGTCATTTCCATTCATGACTTCTCGGTCGTCTAATGCACATGAACCCTGACTTTACTCGATTCTCATTGGAATACAGGCCAAGTAAACTTGTCATGCAATTTACTATAAATCCTAGAAATATGGAACAACCAGTACAACCACAGCAGGACCGGAAAGTGCAGGAACCCAGCAGACAAACTTGCAACGAGCTCCAAGATGGAGAACTTGTCGAGCCACAAGTAATCGCCTAGTAGAGGCTAGTACCTCTAGTATCAGTGAACTCTTTCATGTGTACCAAAACACTAGAGACTCTAGATGGTTTATTTTACTGCTCTCTTAGACACATCTTAAGAATAACCAACAAAAAAGAATGCCCATTATAATTTATAAACCACCTGAATAATGTCATTAAATTGTTCCATACTCAACAGTGAAGATTGGCATTCAATTTTAATTAATACAAAATAATACTTCCAATTGATAACAGAACAAGAATAAAGGAGTTTATTGCAAGCATTATGGTATATTAAGTAGCAAAGCAGACATTTTCTGAAAGAACAAACCAGTCAGATTTAGACAGAGAAAATTGTATGCGGAGGCCAGAATAACAGCATTTGGCATAAGAACACTACACCATCACGATTGCCAACTGGCAAACCTCCTCAAATGTAATTACTTTAACTCATTTTTGAGCTTTTTATCCATTGTATAAATTATCTAAATATATGAAGTTTTTAACGGTAGTACTAATCCCTAATTGTGCTTTAACAGTAATGTTCCACTACAGATACCATACATTCAACTAACAACATGCCGAGTAATAATTCACATTGGTACAGGAGAATCGCAACGTACCACTACCCTGTAGTTTAGTGCACAACCGATACAGAAATTAAACTATAGCAAACATGTATGTTCACCAACCGTATCGTCATGCTCGCAAACACGTTCATCCCTCCTACATAATGTACGTCAATGGACTCGCAAACGATACATGTTTACAAATACTGTACACATTACGATGCCCCCCCTCCCCCCCCAAAAAAGAACCACCTCATGCACACATTCAATACGAACTATGGCACTAACCAGCAATTATATATAAAAGCAGATTGGATTATGAATTAATGCCCTCCCCCCCCTTTTTTTTAGCCAGAATAAATATTTTGTATGGTGAGAGCAATATTTAGTTGTAAGAGAACATTAACTATGTAAAAATGGATTATTTTTTCATAAGGTATACAAATCTTACAAGCAGCTGCTGTGTCCAAAATGCAGAAACGAACATTCACAAAGATTGTTAGTATGAAGTTTTATTTAAAATAAAGTTGACAAAAAAAAAAAAAAAAAAACTGACCATCTCTAAGTACTCAATGGTATTTTTGAAGACGCTTCAGCATAAAATGCCAACATAAAGTAACTTGTGTAGGCACCTTGACTTTTTTTATACTACACTAAATAAATTCTAAATAAAATCACATTTAAATAATCCACCTTGATTCACACACACTTGCCCATTTAAGTAGCCATACTACAAATAACCAGAAAACTTTAAGGAAATACCTTTCAAGAAAAATTTGTGCACATTTCAAATACCTGTACTGCATTCAAGTGTGATACTGCTAACTTGGATATTAAAAGAAATGCTGTAACAAACTGAAAACATTGTTTGCAAACTTTTAATAGTAGCGGCATCTCGGGCAGGGTGGCAAAGCGTACAAGACCCTCCTTCACTGAAGTAACAACCAGCTACACAAACACAACCTCCAATAAGAAACCTACCAGATAAACCATAGATGCTTCCTATAAAGCCATAACAGACGACTGGAAGCAAAGATTAATCTAAGTCCCAAGCAATCTCGCACAAGAGATGCTGGAAGGCAAGTTACCCGATGAGCAGTCCAGTGCTCTTCTGGTAATGATGGATCTCGCGCAGAGCGACTGTTTCGGGTCTATAATAATGAGGCTTCTTCACGCCTTCCTAACTTTGGGATTTAACTAATAATCGGCCAATTTGAGCAGGGTTCCTTTACCGAGGATTACCTTCGATGTATTTATTCTTGCTTCAAAGAATAAAAGGTTTTGCCCTTGCTTAATCAATGGCGGAATTGTAAAGCTACTCTTACGGGGTTTGTTACACTACTATTCCCAATGGAAAAAACATGCCCGTGTAACATTTAAATCAATATTTTAACGTCACTTACCCAGATTTGCCCGGGGGAATAACCTCACACTTGAGGAAGCGAGACCTTTTTCAGCATCGCATTCTGCCTTACACTGCCACCCGTGAATGCCTTATTATTGCAACCGAGTGTGAAAACATAATAAACTCCAAATCGAGGGACATTTAAGAGGCCTCCCACACAGTGGGAAATTATTAATAACTGCTAAGGCATCTACCTACTCACTATATAAATTATAACATTACACATCAGGCTTCTAGCAAGCCAACACATTTCTCTATATATGAAATTCATTATGATATATATATATATACATATATATATATATATATATATATATATATATATATATCCATTATGATAAAGTTCAGTACTGAATATGATTAAGTAATACATTAATTAAAAAATAAATAAAACAAAATATATGCTGGGATCTGCTAACTCTGGTAATGACTTAAATACTAAATAACTTTACTACCACATACAGATGGCCATCTCTCATAAGAAACGTCAAGAGTCACGAAAGCAGCGCACCGTTTCAACTCTCGCAAAGCAAACACTTTGGTTCCCTACAACAGTACTGTATCGAGATGACTATATGTTCGCTTCCATTTATCAGTACATTTATATTAATTAACATGACTTTTATTGTTACCATGAGTATATCTTTGGTCCAATTGCCAGCTTCAACACTAAACAGCTACAGTATTAAATTACTACAATAAGTGCCCACTTGTTGAGGCAAAAATCTTGTGCAAAAGGGTGTCATTACCAATCAAAGGGATCTGAATTGTTTGTAAAGGGAAAGAACACATTTGTAAATTTCTATAAAATAAAAACTAAACTTAACAGTTTTAGTTATAATTATATTCAATAAATTATAAGAATTGTACAATAACAGCAACACAGATTTGAAGTTCAATAAGTTTCACTGTGGAATGCAACATATTTTAAATAGTTAGGTCAAGTGTGGTGCAAAATGTTGAGAGATCATTTCAAGGTTTTCAGAACCATAATCAATTTCTGAAGTCCTTGAACCATACAACAGATTAAAAAAAAAATCCACAATTAACTATGTAATTAAAGCTCAATTAACACATACATCAATAACATTAAATTATGATAAAAGCCAATTGTGTGAACCGACACTTTAAAAAAAAAATTCCACGACAGTTACCAATAGTTTCTAAAGAAAACTAAATGCTACAGTGTTTTAATTAATGCATCTCTTCATATGATCAAAACTACTGTGTTAGCTTCAAGTTTTCAATATTTTGGAAGCTTTGAAGTCGATCTTCTATCAGAATTTCTAGTATAAAAACACTGTGGCATGAAATTCAGAAAAATATAGACCAGACATTACTACGAATGTGGAAAATACAGGTACAATGTATGTGGCTCTCTGTCAGTGCAGCAACACCACCATACCATTTTGTGGAGGTTCTAATTTTGTATCTAAGGCCGTCTGGACAAACCCTCACCCATGGCTTCAACGACTTTCATTCAATGCAGTTGTGTGTGGCAACAGCTAGGCCATTGTCAGATGTGCCATGCATTGTAAAGTTTTTCTTCAATTTAATCCTAGTTTATTTTAATAAAAAATGTTTACTTATTCTTGACCACTACAATTAAGTGAAGTGTTCCAATTGTCACTCCTCCTCCCCACCGATATTAGAGCTACTAGTTCAGTAAGCTATCTCTATAGATACTATTACAACAATAGGCAATGCTAACAGAGGTTCCTCTTTTAAAATGGGTGGTGAAAAAACATGCTAGTGTCAACTCTGTTATTTTGCCTTTTTTGTTTTTAGCAACTAGTAAATAATAAATAATGGACATTACTATTTACACAAGAGCAAGTTACCTCAGCGAGTTACAATAATTATGTACCGAAACTAATAATCGCGCAAAAATGTCTGGCAGTTGCAGCAACAGGTAAATATTGCTTATTAAACACCTTCACACAAGTTTGTTAGACGACAGAATGCAACAGAAAAGCCGGCCACTTGCAGAAATGACACAAAGATAGGAAACTGGAAGACTACACATTTAGTTATACAAGAATTGCTCTACCTGTATTTTCTGGTACAGTCAACTATCAATGACCAATGGAGTGCATTCATTAACCTAGAATAAAAGCATCGACTTGCAGAGGCTGTTCATTTGCATCGGTCTTCGTCTTTGAGACGAATATCCACAACCTCTTGTCAAAGTATGAATATCAATATGGAGCTTATGTATGCACATTGCTGTTGAATAAAATATCTCCCAATATTACTGTTGTCAACAATGTTCTTATTTGCATAATGTAAGTTTCCAATTGCCTAACAAAAAATTAGCAATTTAAAATAAAGCTTACATTATTTTTTTTACACGTTTAGTTTTGTTTCGGTGACGACCTTGAGTAAACAGAAGTCTGCCAAGTGTACTTGCAAAGGCAGGATGCAGTGTCTTAAAAAAATTTCCAAGGTTCAAAACTAAACTTAAGTTTTGGTTGCCTAAACAGACATAATAATATTTGTTATCTAATTATATTACAAAATTATTGTAAATTAAATGTGTAAATACCTCTCTCTCTACTTGAAGAGACATGGGAAGGAGAGGCAAAAAGAGAGAGAAGATACACAGAGGTATTTAAATTAACATTTCCACAACATCCACAGCCATCCCAGCAAATATTTAACAATCGATTCTTTACACAGTGACTAAATGGGCTTAGGCATTTCCAGTAAGTATTCACAGGAATATTAATAGCACAGCCACCATAAAATCTGGTGGTAAGGAGTGTGTGTGTATGTGTGTGAGTGTGTGTCCACTCGCTACAAAGGAGGAGGACTAGTGAGAAGGGCGTCGAGGTGCTAAGATGAATCTTACTTTGTTTAGCTATTTTTCTTGACTGCTTCCGTCAAGGGCCATGGATGGTGTACCTGTTAATGTGGTAAATAAGCATTAATGCACAGATCTAATATTTTTATCACTAACAACTATTAATCAACGTTACCAACAAAAACATTATCTGGGTCTTCACACAAAAGCACAACTTTCTTTGCTGGTGGGTGAAGAGGGAAGTGGCAAAAGTAATTAGTTATTTTCACAACTAAAATTTTATATTCATAATGAAGTTGGAGAGTAGTAACTGCATGCCAAATGATAAGGATAGTGACAACCATGGTCACAGAAGAAAATCAACAATATATATATATTTTGTTTAAGGGGACTGATTGTTTAAGGAAGTGAACTTGTCCTTATCAAACATTTTATTTTCTGTGGCCCATTGAAAGACTTTATTAACATCAGAGTGGAGGTTTGCTGTGTCCTCTATGTTGTCTACTCTCATGAAAATTCTAGTGTCATCTGCAAAGGATGATACAGCACTATAGTTTGTATCCTTGTACTGTATGTCTGATATGAGGATGAGGAAAAATACAGGCGCAAGCTACCTAAGGGTATTGAGATTTTCATGGTGGATGATTCACATTTGTAAAATCTGTATATATATTACATCAGCATTTTGTCTTTCAAGGCACCTAGGGTCATGTCATAGTGGCCTACCAATGTGAGGTAGGAATGCTTGGTTCTGAACCCATGTTGCCCAGGGTTTTGTGATATTACTTCTTGGCTCTCCAACAAACTTTATGATGTGCAATGTTAGAGCCAATGGTCTATAATTTTTTTGCATCAGCTTTACTACCTCTGAAGTAGCACGCTCTGTTTTAAGTCTGGGATAATACCAGTAACTAGGCTCCGTCTTCAAGGGATGTATAAGGTCTGCGATAATGTTTGTTTTTCCAATTCTTGATGAATATGAAATCCCAGGAGTCTGGGCCTGGTGCAGAGTGCATGGATATGCTGTCTACGGCTACTTCAAAGTTAGGTGGGGTTAGGGTAACATCTGATATATGGCTTGGGGCAAGCAGGTATCAAGCAGGGGATGGTGTCACATTCATAAAGAATTCATTTGGATCGTTGATCAGCAATGTGTTCAGGGGTTTACCAAAAACATAATCATACTGTAACTTTAGTATTTCATCAATTTCTTTGCCGTCATCTGTGAAGGTTCCATGACTCTTGCACAAAGGCCCAATGCAGGATGTAGTTTTTGTTCCAGATTTTACACAGGAGAAAAAGTATTTTGGATTCCTCTTATTTTGCCCATGGCTTTTTGCTCTCTGCCTCTCCTGGAGTTTATACAATTCTTGCAACCTTAGCTCAATAGTTTCTATTTCTCTACATAGTCTTCCTTGTCATTTGCGGGACAGAGTTGAGCACTTAATATCCTGTAAGTTGTGTTTGTCACTTATAGAGGGAATACCGCTCTCATTCTAGTTTACATCTTTTTCTCTTTCTCCTTAGTGGTATGTGACATGCACACGTTTATAATGCTATTGTGCCTATTTTCTCAAAGCACTGGTTCAAGTTTGCATTACCTAGCTGTCTTTCCCACCATATTTCTATCAGTGCCTGGTTTATTTGTTCCCAGTTAATCAGTTTGCTATTGCTGAATGCTGCTCCTCTTGGATCTGAAACTGGCTGCACAGACCTATTGCCCATGCAGGTCTGAAATTCAATTAGATTGTAATCCGAGTAACATGAATTTGTAATCATTATGTCCCTAATTAGTTCATCATTGTTTGTAAACGTAATATCCAAAGCATTTTCTTTCCTAGTTGGTTGTTCTATTTGCTGGTTTAAGGCAAATCTTGTCTCACATTTCCAGGAGCTCATTTGTGTGCGACTGTTCACTTAAACTGCTTCCTGGTATAATCATTTGCCACATTTTCCCCATTTTAGGTGCCATAAATTGAAGTCCCAAAGTAAGGTGAAGTTTCGGGCAGGGTTTGTGAACTTTTTCCAAGTACTGTAGTATTCAATATTTGAATGTTGGCCTTTAAACTGGTGACAATTTGCATCTGGCAATTTATATAAAAGGACAATTGACACATGTATAATTTCTATTTTGAGTAATAGCACTTCCACCATATCATTTGTGGTGTTTAGCAGCTCTGTGCAGATGTACCGGCTGACTCCACCCTGTAGTTTGCGTTTTCTATCACACCTGAAAAGACAATTCTGGTATCCATCTCTGTCACAATCCTTGGTGCGAGTTTCAGTCAAAGCTACAAACATGGCTTTGGCCTCATTTAGGAGACTAGTTACAGAGTGGACTTTGATTTGAATGTTTTGATGCCTTGTATGTTGGCAAATAAAGATGTAATCATTGTTGTGGAAGTGCCGAGTATTTTACCTTGTGTTAATATCCGTGGTTGTGGTAGGGGCGCCACATTGTCCTGCCAAGCATTTGACCAAGTTGATGGTAGAGTTTAGACATTTCTTGCCATTCTTTTCCCCATTTCTCTCTCACTGAAAAATCCCTCAATATGTATGGGTGTTGGAAATTTTCCAACACTAATACATCATCCTTGTATTATAATACATTATTATTGTATTAACCATAGTAATTACTAATACCACTAACACGTAGAATTAACAGCGTTAGCGTTTCCATAGCAAGGCATAATTTAGTCAGAAAATTCCCAGCCATCATGACGCCAAGCGTTGATGGCAGGCTTAAACATGCAATCTCCCACATGTTGGAGAAATATAGAGTTCAGTTAATTACTTTTCCTTTCTAAAATTATTGTTCTTTATGAAAGAAATAACCATTTCGCATGCTTATGCATACTGAGCGAGTATTTAACCAAATTAATTATTCCAGTAAAATATTACTGTGGCGTAAAATAAAAACACGTCAACCCTTCTCGTTCAAATTTGTGAAATGTTAATTAGAACAATTGCCTTACGAGAAAAGGTATTATTATCCAATATATTTATTGGTGATGATAGTTCAAATTGTACTCCTTCCGTTTCCCAAATAATTAATAGTAAACCGAAATGGTTTACGTCCGGGATCGCTATGAGCGTCTCTGCACACGCGTGACTGGGCATGGTGGGAAGAAAGGAGGCAGGATTCAAGCACAAGGCATCGTGTGGTGCACACGTGCCCCTACAGACGGCAGCCATTTAACATTACGTAGTCTACAATACTCTGACTGTTTAATTACGCGTCAACAAATATAGTCACGGCCCGTAATCACACGTACACAGCAGTGAATGTCAGGGACTGGCGGACGTGATATCGGCAGGCCTTAGTGTTTCAACACGTTCACGTTAAGTATACTTTTCTGGTTTGATGCATCATTCAAGATTGTGTATTTGTGGGTAGCCTGTCGTTAAGTTGTGAGAAGACCAACAATACAATGTTAGTAGCTTACATTATTTCACTCTAATTTCAGTGAATATTGGAATAAATTATAGCCTAATCAAATGCTACTCAAATTTCCCAGATTACAGTGTGTAGACGAGGATGAACCAAGTTTTTTCTTTCTTCACCTACGATGTTCACCACTGGTGTTTCCTCCTTATTGGGACCTTGTGATCATGACGACGAGTAGCGAAACAGACTTAATGAAGTCGTCTTACAGATAAGACTAAATCTTGTTTAGTAGAGAATTTGAATAAGGCCATTATTAATTTCTATATATATTTCTATATAGGATGATCAAGAAGAATAAGGTAACGCAATAATTTACTGCTCAGTACTCAATAAGTTTGCATTTATTATTTCTTAGGATTTAATAATCTTTCAATATATTGATTATTTAATATTTCATGATTTTTTAGAATCTATATTCTAGTTCAGATTCTACTATTTTATTAACCCCATTAATGAACTGGTGACAAACCACACTGGTTCCTAGATATATATGAACTTCTAGAAATAACCCCCCCCATGTTAATATTTGAGGCTTTTAACTTTAATCAATCAATAATACAGCCCATTCATTCTCTAAGTGATTGTTAAATAATTTAACATACATAGGCACTGGTTCTATAGTGTCAATCTTATAATCACTTTTATTTGTTTTCCCTCTTTTCTCAAAAGTGGGTGGTCCTTCGATTTATATTAATTCTCATAATTAAATAATTCTATATTTGAGTCAAAGCCCCAGATACCCAACAGGTGTTGCTGTATTTATAATTGCATCCTATTGATCTTATTTGCTTGGTTCCTTTGATACGAAATGCTGGGTAATCTGTCAAAACATTCCTTATTTATGAAGTTTTACACAGTATTGGCTGGAAAAATTAATTTTCAAAGCAACATGTACCTCTACATTTAGGATATTTCTGCAGTTTCTTGGGTGTTCATATTTCAATTCTCATAGTTCAGGGAAGACTAGGACGAGTCATGTGCGTCCACAATGCCCCAAAATTTCACTTACTTTCCGATTGTTATGCAATTAAAAAACGTGACATTGCGGCAATTTGATAAAAAAAAAAATGATTGAAAATTGAGGTGAGAAAACTGGAGAGGTTAAACACTGGAGTGTGGTTGTGAGCTTACAGGCACCGCGACACCACCCAGCCTACCTTGCAGTGTGATGCGGGTGGCGTGCCGGCCCAGGAAAAGTGTTAAGACACTTAAAATAAAATCTGATAATTCAGGAGAAAATTATTCACATGAATAAACAACAAACTTGCCCTTACTTGTGTTGACGTTTTTGTATAAACTTCCATCATTTGAGCCCGTACATTCTCCATAAGCTGTGGCATGTCTTCTTTAGTCAAGCCTTTAGTAGAAATTGGAGGCAGGCATGTGACGATGATGTGACCTGTATTAATAAAAACAGGTCAATCTATCTGCATTCGTTATTTTTCCTCCCACTAGACAGCATAATTACTTTTACAAACATTACTTGTACATCATGAAATGTCTCCTCTGGAATAAGCAGATCTTCCTCAATGCTTGTGTAACTGGGAGTTAATGAAAATTAGCTTCACACTATGCAGTACATTCTCATTTCCAGGATTTAAGATGGCTTTAACCCTTAGACCGTGCATATTACAGCGAATATAGGGGGCATAGTAGCGAAAAATATTTGAATTGTGTAAAAATAACTTAAAAATATTAAATCTCCAACTTACTGGTTTCAGTGTCGTGAAACTTTCATCAAAATATTTTCAGAAATTGATTTTAGACGAATTTTTGAAAAATAACGTTTTATTGATAAGGAGAACAGCTAATAACTGGAACTGAAGGATTATGCAGTAATAAAGAGATGCAAGCGCCTGTCTGATGCTCAAAGAAGAACAGTAGTAGTAAGAAGTGTCCACAAAGTGGATATGCAGCTGGTGCCTTTATATCATTGCTGAATAATACATAATAACAAATAATAATGAATAACTATGTTAATATGATCTATTTTGTTATATACCAAATACATTGTTCATTGTTAATACATGGTACTTTCATCAATGTCCCCCCCCCCCCAATTTTTTTTTTTTTTTTTTAAGATTTTAGTATTTTTTCTTCTTTGTTTATTATCTGATTTTAGAATGCATATGTTTTCATAACTATGTGAAGATAGAATGAAATTGTCAACAAATAAATCAGTCACAACTCGCAAAACTTGGGACTTAATTATTTTTTTTTTTGGGGGGGGGTTAATTTTTCTCTGATTTCAAACAATTTTCTTTGTCTCTTTAGGTTGTTTTGATGATTAGGGACCATATTTGGGCTTTTTCACTTATATAAAGTATACCCTAAATATATCCCCTAAATCATTATAATTGTTATAATTATCCCTATGCAGCATTTTGTGTTTTTGGGGGGTTATTTTTTCTCGACTTAATTTCATAATTACATTTCATTCAATTTGACAAATTGACTTCATTTCAAAACATATTGACCTACAACTTTGACATTCGTACTCGAATATGTGAAACAATGTTTACTAAAACATACAATTAAATTAACAAATTAAAACTACCTTTATTCATTGTTGATAACTTCAATTATCTCTGAAACCAGAGTTTCAACTTTGAGTGGCTTCTAAAATTCCAGTTATTAACCGATTCTCAATATTTTGACATTGTGTGCTCAGCTGTCTGTTCTACAATCCCATCAGAATGGATTTTTTATAAACTTTATACATTTGGAGTTATAATTTTTTTGATCTAAATTTGCTGCATATTTCAAATGCCCAAGTGACGATTTTTTTATAGTTAACTATACTGAAAACCATATATTCTAATTTGATGAAAATGAAGATCATATGCTATTCTGAGAGAATAGCAACATTAAATGAACAATTAATGATAGTTCATATTTTTTATTCTGAATTGAAAATCTAAAGTTTTCAATATTCAATTTAAAATTAATTTTGACTCTTGTTTTTCAAGTTATGCTGTGATCATTTAGACAAAGTTGGAGCATTTGCCTAGTTGATTATGGAAAAAAAAAATCGGAAAGTGTTTGTGCAAGTTTTAAAAACTTATGTTAAATTATTTTCTGTCAATTCATATATGAATGTATTGCACAGTCTAAGGGTTAAACAGAAGCATTAAAGAACTAATTAACTATATGTACGTTTATGATCTTTAGGAAAACCAAAACTTTCATTTCAAATCAGGACCTTTCTGTACAGTACACCTATAAAAGGTAACTTACCTGGATTGAAAACTTTGCAGGGATGACTGAGGAAGCCTCGGTATGAAGAGTAAACAAGAGGAAGAACTGGTATCTGGCCTTCAATTGCCAAGTGAAAAGCACCTTTCTTAAACGGTAGCATCTCATCTCCCATGCTTCGTGTACCCTCGGGAAACACCCATAATTTAACCTGTTGGTGGGGAGTGGGGGGGGGAGGGAAAATTTCATATTTGAAAAAATTTAATGAATGGGACTTATTTCAGGTGCTCCATTACCCTCATCCTGATTACTTTCTCCATCACTTTACAAAGAATGAAAAATGCATGTTGGCGATACTGGTCTATAGTGCCTCGTGTTTTTTCAGAGGCACTATAGCATTTTACTCTGAAAAAGTGCTCTTCAAAATGCCATAAAAATCTTGAGCTATCGTGATAAAAAAAAAAAAAAAAAGGGTTGAATGTAATGAAATGCCATTTTCTGGGTGAGACCCGGATGCTCCTCAGAGCTATCTAGGCTGATATGAATGTATTAGACCTTGGCATCAGTCAAGCAAATGAAGTTCTAGACCTACCGAGGACCATGAGCCTTCATAGGACCAATTCTATAGTATGACTGCCGAGTTCCTTGTCCGAAACTCTGGAAGGAATCACAGAAGCCAGAACCTGGCCCCCCTCAGATTCACAAGGAGCAATGTCCTATAGGTTTTCCCTGTGGTTTGAAGTACTGTATTTTATGTCTGCCATCGACCGGGTCAGGCACCCAGAAAGGTAAGCACCCCAAAACAAACACCCTATTCTGGTTAAAAGATTGCTACTGAAAGCAAAACTGTTGGACAGAATTCCCCAAGTGAAAATGAGCAAACTAGCATGACGTCACCGCGCCGCTGTCTGCACAGCTCCCCCCCTCCGTGGGAGGGGAAAGGGGGAACTCCAACCCCCGCACCAGCTATTCACACCCCAGTTCTGAGGCTGGATGTCAAAACACTTTAAAAACCACCGACCAGAGAGAAGGAAGGTTGCTGGGAGCCTCCAGGTTTCACCCAGGAAATGGCATTTCATTACATTCAACACTGGTTTTCTGTGGGGGGGAGCCCCTTTGGCTTCCCGGAGCTACTTAACCAAAGATAAAACAAGAGGAACTCACTCCTGAACTTGAAGTCGAGACAACTGGCAGCAACTGCCGACCCAATGCAACACATACCCGACTAAGGTCAGGAACATTGACTAGGTAGCGAGTGGCCAGGACCCTGTTCGACCTCCAAAAACCACGTGCCTGAATGTCAGCCCAAGCACATGTTACAGAAGATGGCAGCAAACTTACGAATGTCGTGAGCACGAGGATAGACCACAGGATGGCTGGACCGAATATTCCTGGAGAAGACCTGAGACCCCCAAACCCTGCAACAGGGAAGAAGGGAAAACCAGGTCACCCAAAACAGGGCACCTAGGGAAGGTAACCCTAGGTGCATGCAGCCCGAATACTTGTGAAATTACTCCTGGCTCACACACCACCATTGGAAAGGACTAAACCACATCACAGCACTGTGAAGTTTCAGAGCCAGAGTTGCACGACCGCAAAGAATCACATCAGCCACAAAACTGGAGTGTGGATAACCGGCACGGGGGTCTGAGGCTCCCCCTTTACCCTCCCGGGGAGGTGGGAAGCTGCACACACAGCAGCGCGGTGACGTCATGCTCGTTTTCATTTGGCGAGTTCTCTCCAACAGTTCGGCTTTTAATAACAATCTTAAAAAGAATAAGGGTTTGTTTTGGGATACTTACCTTTCTGGGTGCCTGATCCGGTCGATGGCAGACAGAATGCTTCCAACCTCATGGGGGTTTCTGTAGGCCATTGCTCCTTGTGCCTCTCTGAGGGGGCCAGGTGTTGGCTCGTGGTCCCCAGCGAGTCTAGAACTCCAGTCGTTTGACTGATGCCAAGGTCTTAATACATTCATATCAGCTCAGATAGCTCCGGGAAGCCAAAAGGGCTCCCCCCAGAATAAGAATACAGTGACACCCCGACTTACAACTGCTCCTACTTACGATATTTTCGAGTTACGATGTAAATTTGGTCGGAAAATATGACTACTTATGATCGTGCCGTCGACTAACAATATTCGCTGATACGCATTCGAGTCGACCGAGTGCATGGTTCCTGGTGGCATGGACCGACCTGCCTCAGTTTACCAGAGCCACCTGCTTAGTGACGATCACACTTTTAATTAATTTCATTATTTTGGTGAATTCTTGTTTTTTGAACATCTTGAGGTTATCTTGAGATGATTTCGGGGCTTTTTAGTGTCCCCGCGGCCCGGTCCTCGACCAGGCCACCACCCCCAGGAAGCAGCCCGTGACAGCTGACTAACACCCAGGTACCTATTTTACTGCTAGGTAACAGGGGCATAGGGTGAAAGAAACTCTGCCCATTGTTTCTCGCCAGCGCCTGGGATCGAACCCAGGACCACAGGATCACAAGTCCAGCGTGCTGTCCGCTCGGCCGACCGGCTCCCCATGAAAGTCATTTTTATATATCATGCCATGGGTCCCAAGAAAGTCAGTGGTAAGGTTCAACATATGAAAACACATGTGAGGATGACCATAGAGGCAGTACAGAATGTCCCTTCCTCAAAAATTAAGAAATTGTGTGCAGCATGGGAAGAACTGCAAACTTTTGCTGAAATGACTCGCCCAAATCAAGCTGCAGTAGGCCGTTGCCTTAACCTTTTCAATGACACTGATGCATTACTACAGATAAATGTTAAAACTAAGAAAAAATCTCCATGGACAAATTTTTAGTGAGAAACAAGCAGTGAACCACAACCAGGTCCTAGTGGTATGCAGGCAAAACATAAGTGTACCCCAGAGAAGTCCTCACTGCCTGATGTTATAATGGAAGGGAACTCCCCCTTCCAAACAGTAACACCTCTCCTCCTCCCGCCTCACCATCTTCCATAAGCCAATACAGTTTCTAACTGTATTGTAGTTAGAGAGAAAAATTGTATTCAGTATAAAACGTATTTTTAAGTTAATATTTTTGGGGGTGTGGAACGGATTAATTCAATTCCCATTATTTCTTATGGGAAAATTCATTCTGACTTACGATCTCTCTCTGGGAACGGATTAAAATAGTAAGTCAAGGCCCTCCACTGTATTACGCAAAAATGCAAAGAAATAAAATCCAATTACGTATGTCTTCGGCCAGTAAAATAAAAATACTGTATATGAAAACCTATTAGAACAATACTTTCATATCACAGCTTTATGAAAACTGTCCTAAAGAGGTTAATTTGTAGTACAGAAATGAGATTACTTCAATTATAATAAACTAGAAAAAAATAGAAAAACATTAATACTAAATTAAACTCAAGGAATAGAAATTTAAAAATCCAGGAGCTTTCACATAATCTTAGATTATACAGCAATACAGTAGAGAATTACCAAACATCACTACCAAACAGAAACAGAATTACCAAAGTGATAGCCATTGGAAGCTAACAAAAATACAGTACAGAATCTAATTTATTTAAAGAATACAACTAAATACATTTACTTACCTTATTTTCCTTGACATAATCCAAGGCTGCATTCATCGAGGCCTTGGCACTGTCTGGGTTTCTACGATCAATAAACCGGGTACCACACAGCCAAGCTGTCATCCCAAATGGCATAGCATAAAATAGTTCCTTCTTGGCAATGGCTGTGATCTTGTGGAACATAGGCCACATGTACACCATCCCTGTTTAAAGTATAAAACCTATTATAATGAAAAGGAAGCAAATTATACAAAGTTCTTTTAATGTTGTTTATAACCACAGTATTATTTAATGTACAATTCACTTCGGTATATTGCTCTCATATAATCTTTATGAGATTATAAATTATGCCCTAGATTTTAATTATGCTTGCTAATGAGAACAACAAGTATAATGTCAGAAATTACATTTAATTTAAAATACGGTATCAACACACACACTTTTGCTCCATGTGAAAAGGTTAGAACTTTACAAGATGTACAGTACCACAGACCAATTCCATTTTCCTCCCAAGAGCCAACCATATCTTAGTCAATTGTAAGGAACATCATTTGAATGTCACATTAATCATCCAGGTACAGTATATCAATAAATTAATGTTAGTGTACGAGGGTAAGTCACAGAACATTAACAAATGGTTTTATAACGGGAACATGCTCTGCAGCAGGCTGCACCACGAGACAGAAGAGGCATAAATCTAGAGTCGTTTTCTGTGTCAGCCACCTAGAGGTGCATATGAGTTATGATGCACATTTGCTTAACATTAGCAGTTGGTGAGCGAGTGGTTATCTTGGAGGTTATCTTGAGGTTATCTTGAGATGATTTCGGGGCTTTTTAGTGTCCCCGCGGCCTGGTCCTCGACCAGGCCTCCACCCCCAGGAAGCAGCCCGTGACAGCTGACTAACACCCAGGTACCTATTTTACTGCTAGGTAACAGGGGCATAGGGTGAAAGAAACTCTGCCCATTGTTTCTCGCCGGCGTCTGGTATCGAACCCAGGACCACAGGGTCACAAGACTCGCGTGCTGTCCGCTCAGCCGGTGGTGCTGTAATTCAGTGCCCAGAATAGCAATCACTGAAGCATTATTCGTTTGTTTGGGTTATTTCCCGTAAAAAGAGATCGCCACGTTATTCACACAAAACAGTGAATACGTAGTATTATTGATGTATTCGCCAAATCGTGCAAATACAATGGTGGTTCCCAATGACTTAACAGGCCTCACTTTACCAGTCTAAAATAAAAAGCGTAACCCGAGGGATTTTTGTACACACCAGACCTGCACACGTCCCCAAATAGTGCTTGTCCCAGCTTTCCTCTTCACTGTTTTGACACTACTATGGTAGTGTGAATCATGTGAGAATACCGTTCTCATTGCAGAAATAATCATTAAAATTCTGGACCCCATTTCAAAATGTTGGCTCAAAATATAGGGTAACCTGGCACCTGAAGTTCGGATGAATCTGGCACTTTAGCACAAGTCACAGCCACTTCATCATCAAGCTGTTACTAGTAAAACCTCCACCCATTCCAACTGCTTTAGCATCTTAACGTGAACTACAGTAAATATTTGGGCCGGAGGAAGCGAATGCACTGCTACAGAAATGTCACAACTGTTTGTGTTGTTTTGAGTTTGTGAGTTTGTGTCACAAAATGTCACAACTGTTTGTGTTGTTTTGAGTTTGTTTGAGTTTGTGTTGTTTTGAGTTGTTTTGTTGTTTTCCTTTGTTTTGAGCCTGTTTGATGACATTTGACTTTCATTAGAAATAAATAAAAAAAATTGTTAAATATATAAACGTTCCATAGAATTATCTTCACACTATTCCAATTCCTTATAATTATAATCTCGTCTCATCTCCTCAGATCTCTATTTTATAAAATAGGCACAGAAACCATCACAGTAGTGAACAAGCCAAAACAGAAGCCAGGCGGAAATACACGAGGACATGGTTAACAAAAGCAATAGAAAATTACAGGAAGGCAAAGGAGGCATCTGTCCGAGCCCTTACGATCATAGCAAAACATTTCCCGTTATTTCGCCAGCCACAAAAAGTTTGCTACAATGCCAAAGCATCCTACAGCAGTTAGCACAGCATGTAAATAAGCCTGACAGCATGCATAATACTTACAACAATCCAACTAGTGTCTATGCTACCCAAAGAGCTTAATGGATTACCATATATACCTTTGCATTATGATAAGAGGCATAAACTGTAAACCAAAAACAAAATTGAAAAAATAAATTTAAATATAAATCAATACTAAATGTAAAAAGGTTGTATCTTGTATCAAGTACCATATTTGAGTATTCATTTACCCGTTACCAATACGGTATACACTGGTTAGAGAAATAAAAAATCGTATTACTGCACAATGATAGTCAATTGAACAGAACAGTTTAACAAACTAATGCACCAAAATTATTAAAATCCATTTAGATTCTGCAAAACAATTTGTGATTCAGAATAACATATTACCTGGAATAACGTGTTTATCTGTAAATCCAAGTTTATGTGGTACCGATTAAATTAATAAATAAAAGTGTCGTACATGATACTCCTGGTCTAAGGAGAGATTCATACCAAACCACTTCTGCTGCAACTGAAGATCCACTGAACCCAAAGTTTACCCCCGTTTCCACTACTATTTTGTCCTATATATATATATATATATATATATATTATGGCTTTTATTATTACAGACAATAAAACGTGATTTAGTATATATATACCGACACGAAAACCACTTAAAAAATTATTTAAATATTTTGCTTATTACATTTTTCAGCACTTTATTCTAGTCCAAAGAATACAGTCTCATCCAATAGCCAATCTTGTTATTTTCAGTTGAAACCAAATCTCACCAACAGAATGGACTCCTACCATTTAACCTGACTTGCCATTCTGCATGGTTTTATCGAAGCGAGAGTACACCAAATAGTAATTTTATTTTGTATACAATAACTGGAAAAATTTTAATATGATTTGGAATAAAAATGCTATTTTCATCATGAAAAAATTATTTACATGGAAATTTATCTGGAATAAATCGCTGCTAATACAGTACAATAATCAAGATCGTCATTCTGACAACTTAACGGCTTAAAGCAATAGCTTGTGCCACCATAATTAGAATTCATTTTTGCATGTAAGGTATTTAGAAGCCATATTCACAAAGCCAAACATCTAGCGTTGAATGTAATGAAAATTTCTGGGCTAGCCCCAGTGGCTCCCTGAAGCTACTGTACTGATGTAGTACCAGACTACAAGGTGCCATCATTTGCAGAGTTCTTATTGGCCTACTGGGGACCATGAGCCAGAACCTGGTCCTCTCGGAGGCACAGGGAGCAGTGGCTATGTAAAATTTGATGTAAATTTATTCATGTCAGCCACCACAAAGAGAAAGCACCCAAAAAGTCAACAAAACATACTACTGCTTGGTAAGAAAACCAGGCCGCAGCCTCAAAACGGCCAAAAGAACTCTTTAAAAAAAAGTAATAAAAAAAAGTAAAACAATTGAAAATTTGTGATGTTAGCACGAGCTAGTTCACCTAACCTTCTCTCCTCGTTTGTGGGAAGGAGGGAGGCAGACCAGGTCAGCCAGCTGCACCACCACCAGTAATTATGATGTTGGAAACTATCCCTACACCCTGGGAGAGGGGAAGAGTCGGGGAGCCACTGTGGCTCACCCTGAAATTGGTGTTTCATTCCATTCAACGCTGGATTTCTGGGGGAAGCCCCTTATGGCTCCCTGAAACTATCTACCCACATAGAAGGAAGAAAGGGCATGTACTAGGGAGGTGGAAGCACTGCAGGGCTCAAAAAGGGGAGAGGGGTGGATCCTTGTGCCCCAAGAACGACCCCAGACATGAACAAAGAATGCAAAAGTTCACCATACCAACACATCAATGCGTACGAGGGCTGACTGCAGGCTAGCGAGATCTTAAGACACTACAAATGACCTAAGACACACGAGCCCTTGGTAAATGGAACCGAGAAAACCAGAGCAAACTGCAAATCGTCCACCAAAACAGAACCAAAGACATGAAGGCCAACAAACACATTCCCTGCCAGAAAACAAGGAGCCGGCAGCAACTGAACAAGCACCCACTAGGGCCAAAAGAACAAAGGCCTCGGTGCCAGGAGAGCAAGAAGCTCCCCCCACCTGGCAACCAGAAGCAGGAGAAGGCAAAAATGATGCTCGCTGAAAACTATCCCAGATTGAAGGGGCCACCAAAAACGGTGGATAAAATAAAAAAGAACCCGGTCAAGGGACCTGGCAGTTCATGAACAGGCTGGAGGGGAAACATTGCTCGAGAAAACATGCAAAACTGGGTTGAAGAGGCAGCGACCCCAGATAGAAGCTGGAGTGGCTCTGCCAACGCTGCACGAGAAGATGCGACAGTAAGTGGCAGAAAATGCCGATTAAGGAAAAGCAAGGAATGGACAGAAGAAAACGAGGAGCAATGACAAAGTGACAAAGTGGAAGGCATGCCAAGACATCACAAACCGTTGCCAGGAGGAAGACTGCAGGTGGGACACCAGGAAACTAGCCACCTGATTACAATAGAAGACAAAAAACAAAGTCCCCTGAAAGGACTGAAAAGTTAAAACAAGTCCCGCAACTCTCCAGGCACCTAACCGCGGAGAACGAGTAAACAAGGGAGAATTGAAGACTAGCAGGCTTACAAGCTAGAGACTAGATTGCAGAAACCAGTTTGCCCCACCAGCCAAAACACGCCTGACCTGAAGAAAGAGGTAGTCCCTGACAACTGGCTTACCTGACGAATAAGGGACACCACAAGGAAGGAGACCCACTAAAGTCTCCTTCCCTTAACCCAAACACTCCAACAAAGATAACCCTGACAGTGCAAGGACAGTACTCAAGGAGAGCACAGGGAAGTAAACCCTGAACATATGCAACTTAAGGTACACTACACTTGTTATCTTGAGATGATTTCGGGGCTTTAGTGTCCCCGCGGCCCGGTCCTCGACCAGGCCTCCACCCCCAGGAAGCAGCCCGTGACAGCTGACTAACACCCAGGTACCTATTTTACTGCTAGGTAACAGGAGCATAGGGTGAAAGAAACTCTGCCCACTGTTTCTCGCCGGCGCCCGGGATCGAACCCAGGATCACAAGTCCAGTGTGCTGTCTGCTCTGTGCTGCACAACCGTGCACAGGACAGGCATCAAAGGCAAAATGCCACTTAGCTGATGATAGGAGACCAGAGCAAGAGCAAACCAAGAGGGAGCGATCAAGTATAAATACATCAGAATAAGAACTAATGGTGGAGCAGCTGGCTGACCTGGTCTGCCTCCCTCCTCCCCCAATGACAGAAAAAGGTCGCACCATTAGGGGTCTCAAATTTTAGACCCCGCACCATTGGGGTCTCAAATTTGAGACTAGCTTGTGCTAGTCTCAAGCTTTTTATCATTTGTTTACATTATTGGGAGAGTTCTTTTGGTTGTTTATAGGCTGCAGTCTGGTTTTCTAACCAATCTGTTTTGTTTCGCCAACTTCCTGGGTGCCTTCCCTTGGTGGTGGCCAACGTGAATAAACTTGCATAAATTTTTTCATAGAGCCCCTGCTCCCCTCTGAGGGGGGCCAGGTTCTGGCTCGTGGTCCCCAGTAGGCCAATAACTCCTTGAATGATGGCACCTTGTAGTCTGGCACTGTATCAGTATTGTAGCTTCAGGGAGTCACAAGGGTCTCCCCCCAGAACAAATGTTGAAGGAAATGGGTTAAAAAATGATGAATTTAACTACTACATTAATATCAAATTAAAAATTATATGTGGTACTGTCAATGGAAACTTAACACTTTTCCTGGCCGATAAGTCATAATGCATCCGTATACGAATCTACTCTGGGCGAAGATGCACGCCTAGTCCAAATGAAAATATTAGTTAAAATCCATTTTTGTTCCCGATCATTATGGGACTAATTGTAAAGTGAGTGTCATTTGATGGCGAACAACTTGTTACCAGAATGAACGATGTAGCACAGAAATTGAGGTAACAAGACTGGAAAGAATATAAATATTTGAGTGCGTGTGGAGGGTGCATGCTCACAGGTAAAGCTTAGCCTAACTTTGGGTGTCCTACATGTGGTGTTGGACCATTTGACCTTACAGTATATGCACATATCCCTTTCGAGCAATCTATTGCGAACAATTTGATACCAAAATGAACGATGAAGCAAGAAAATTGAGGTGAGAAAACTGAAAACAGTATAAACGTTTGAGTGCGGGTGGGTGCACGCTCATGGGTAACACTGCCAATTTTCGGGTTTGCTGCTGGTGGCGAGCTGGGCTTTTTGACCTTGTATGCATATACCCCTTTAGATTATTCTATTGCAAACAATTTGATATAAAAAATAAATGACTTGGCACAAAAATTGAGGTGAGAAAACTGAAAAAAAAGAGTACACATTTTAGTGTGGGTGTATGCTGGCGCGAAGCGCTCGGCCCACCTTGGGGTGCGCTGGGCGGTGCGCACCAGGCCGGGCAAAGGGTTAAGGTTATAAAGAAATAAAATATTCAAGTCACCAGTGAATAAGCAAAGGTCCTCATCTTTAAGACGCTCGGTGTAAAGTCTATCAGGCCAGTACGAGTACTGTATATTAAAACAGGAACTACCATCAAGAGAAGCAAGCACTATAATAAATGCTCAATTCAAAAATGACCATTATCAAAATCCAACATGGCCGCCACTTTTGTAATAATGTAGTTACTGTAATATTTGTAAGACAATGTTCTCATAGCAAAGTGTAAACTTAACCCTTAAGAGAGCTGTTATAATCATATAATGACCCAAGCCAATGAAATTATCACATGCGAACTTTAGTTATCACCCAGTTCTATACAAATATAACTATAGTTATAATATGCAGAATAGCAGTTCAAGTGTGTTCTGAGTCCTCTACCACAGGTCAGCTAACTGCACATCTTGCTTCAATGTACCAAATCATTCCCCCCTCCCCCCCCCCTTCCCCAGCTTCCTCCTATAGTGTTTGAAGCCAGAAGAGATTTGAGGTTGTGAGGGGAATCTCCCCTTCCCTCCTCATATACATGCAAATTCTATTATTTTTTCTATCTTTTTTATCTATATTTTTAACACAGTATGGTGTCAATTTTGACGATGGCTGCCTGTTGAAGGTTAAAGAACAAATTATAATAATTATCCAAACCATTTACTGTACTACACGAGCCAATCCATTAACAACATTTTTCAACCATTTCAGTTTAACGAAAATCCATGATTGGGTACTTTGGACTTAATTGATCTTAAACGCCAACATTTAAATTAATGAAGATAATGTTTAGTAAATAAGCAAATGGTAAGTAGGCAGATGTTATGGTACAAAGCTGTAAGCCCCGCTTGAGAATTTGAGCAAAGTTACATGCCGTTAGCTAGCCAAGCCCCTTTACAACAGTGTCAGCTGCTACTTTCACCCAAGTTGATACCCATGCATTAACCCACCCGGATGATGAGCAGCGTGGGGAGCTAGTGCCTGTGACTTTCCGTGGAAATCAAACTTGGAAACGCAGATTTGCAGTCGGCAGTGCTGATTGATGCACCACTGGGTTGCATCATAGCAAGAAGGAATAATCAAAAGAAACAGATTATGGATACAAACACAAAATTTAATGGATGAAAATTATAAGCAGACAGACCAACTGAAAGACTGACAGCAGATAGACATAAGCCGAGTAAGCAGACAGATGGACAAAATACAATTAAAATGTTCTACATATTTTGGACAGAGCAAAACAAATAATCTTACCTAAGAAATCAATGGAGCTCTGATGATTGGCCACCACAATAATGGGACGATCGATCATGATGTGCTCTTTGCCACGCACCTCCCAGTGTAAACCCAGCAAGGGGTTCAACGCACGCAGTGGAAATGTGGCTATCCTGTTAATCAACAAATTTCTTATTTAAATTAAAATGTAGAGTATGTATGAACAGATGTCAGTAACTATCACAATGAATTTAAAGTAAATTCATACACATTCAATATACATCAATTTATTTCTGAACAAAGCCAATTGGTTGCTCCTGAAGGCAAAGATCAGCCACGTCTTGTCAATATTAGCCAAATCGTGACTGAAATCTTTGCTAGCATTCCCAATAGGTTAGTGTGAAAAATTAAACATTGGAGATTACTGAATCCACCTAAATGGATCACCTTAAGGAACTTTTGGCTAACCTTTATACCCCATTGCGACTAACTTCTTAAAATGAATACAAAGTAATTTTCTGACAGCAGCTAGTTACATCAACTGGCTGCTGTCTACTGGCATTATGGGGCAGTAGCACCTTACTAGACAATAGGTTTGCAAAAAGTTGGCTTCTTCACATTCTGCCAGTCATCCACTTCGTATACACCATGTTGCAAAATCCTCTCTGTCGGCTTCCTTGACCACACTGAGGACTCTGTTCAAGCCACACTTTTCCCTGTGTCACCTAAAGTCCACAGGGCCTCTGGCAGCTTTTCCAAGGACTACCAGAACCATTCATTACCCTCAGCTGGTAGTCGAGTAGAGCAAGAAGCACGATGGGGTGTGTATATCAGTGAATGCCTCACAGCGGGCTACGCCTCTTGTACTTCACAGACAGGGTACACACCATCTCGTCCAGTGTACGGAATAGGCTCTCATTAGCTGCTCTCATAGCAACCATTAGATAAACTAGAGAGGCTAGGCTACCCCCAAAATCACTTGACTTACTCTGGATCATGTCTTCTGGCGATGCTGTCAACAGCACTGCTGGTTCCTGGTAGGAGAGAATATGGCCTCTACGACCACCTCTATCCTCTTTATCAGCCTACTCCCTCACTCGTTAACTTTTACTTTTATAGCCTCTCAGCTGTGTTCAAATATTCCCAATTTGGCTCAGTATTCAACAAGTGCCTGGGTCTACTTAACCCATATACAAGATACTATGGCACAGCATATAACTGGAAGGGGAAGTACAAAAAAATTACATTTACTAAATAAAAATGAATCAAACATTTAAGAACATTGGCAACACTACCTTGCCAATGTTATACTCATTATAACTCGCATTATAACTTGCTCATAACAAAATTATGAATATGCCACTGTTGGATTCAATTAATTTGAAGTTTACATTACTGTGGATTATTCATGTGTATACAACCACCACTGATAAATAATCATTAATCTTTATAAAAGAAAGGGGGGCCTTGAATAAGTTACTATCTTAAATTCTTTAAATGCCAGTCAGCACAAAATTTTATCTCGCTAAGCTACAACACCAATTTGAATATTCTGTCATAATATCAGTAAACCCCACACAGTAACATTATTAGATCACAGTGTATCCTAACATCAATAAAAATAATGCCTACTAGTTCCCCAAGGAACTAATAACCTCGAGGAAAAATTAGGAAGGAAAGGGGGTGGAAAGGGGAAGAGTTTTACTTAAACACAGCCAATTGTCAGCAAAGGTGTTGAGCTTCTCCTTGCTCTGGCTCTCACTTTGCTTCACGCAGCTCCACCTGAAGTCTCCGTCAACACCACTCCCTCACCGGATGTCCTGTGATGTCATAAGCACCCTTTTCACTACAGTACTTCTGGTAGTAAGCTAGCTCTGACATCCATTAACTTCTCCATCCGAGTTTCCTCTCAACAGGATTCCCCTGCACTGTGCTCCCTCACTGAGGTCTGGAGAAAGTGATCCAGAAGTTCCTAGGACCATCTTGTTAGCCGAGCAATCTCTGGATGGGCTGCTTTCGCGGCCAACTCGACACTGCAGTTTTTGGGCAGTGTTTCACCACTGCTAGGCTGCAACCACAACAGACAGCCTCTACAACCCATGTCACTGGGTACCAGTTAATATTTCAGCTCTTGCACCATCCTTGTTCACACCAGTTTTCCAGTTCAACAGGTAACTTTCAATCCACTGATCTTTTGGTGCAAAATTGTCATTGGCCACTTCTTCCACTGAGCACCGGTGCTCATTATCACTAGTCACGTAGCCTGACCTTATGTCTATGTGCTCGGCCACCTGCATGCTGGCATTATGTACAAAATGTCATTATTACCAATTCACTAACATTTTCAACAAGTCAGGACTGCCTCGAAGACAGGAGATTGACTCGACAACCACTTCCACTTGTGGACGTTGTCTTGGGTCACTGCACCAAGCTGTGGAGTGACACTGAATCCTGCACAAGTTTTAATTGCACAGCCTCTGACAATTTTCTCTTTCACCGAGGCCATCGGCCGCTCCTCAAGAGAGCAAGAAACAAGAGGTATCTTGTTATCTATTAACTTTACTATATGAATGCAAATCTTGCAAAATCTTGGCGTGCTGCCGAGTACGTCGTCCTTCAAGTGTCTTTGGATGAACAGTAATCTTATGAACCCCGGGCACCAACTCTTCTACCTGGTGTGCCCATGACAAAACTAAGTCAACTGCTGATTGGCTAATACTCCTCTGCTGTCAATTGCATTTCTTGTTGTATCCCATGTATGCTGGTGTCATCGCCCCCAGCAGGAATCTGTCACCCACGGGGTGAACTCTGGCCACTTTGGAGAATTTTTAGCCTCTGGCTTTCCCCTTTAATTTCTCAAAACAGAAGGCATGCCAAAACCATGCAACTCACACCTTCACAAACTAAAATATTCTTTGGTCCATCTAGCATCTAGCACAAATAACTGTTGATGTAGCGAAAAAGGCCCAAATTAGACGGCGATCATAACAACCAGCTTCGACAAACACGCATCAATTAATAGATTATAAACCAATATTTCAAAAAGACTGGGTACAGTGGGCTTGTGCTTCAGCGAGTGCCTCACATAGGGTTAATGTTGACACGAGGCCTGTTATTGATTTCAGGGATCAACCACAGATTATTTAGGCACTATAAATATTAGAAGGCACATTAAATCATTCACAAATGATAGGAACACCAAGGTCAATCACTCGATACTGATAGTAGTAGTTTAACCCCTGAAGTGTGCATAGTGCATAATGCCACTTCCCCGCATTATAATATGACACCCCCCTTGGTGCACCGAAAAAAATTCCAAAAATGTGTTCTTATATTGTGACAATGCAGTTTCTAATCACAAGAAACCGAAATAAAATATTATACGCAACATACTTTAATCATGATGGAACAAGAAGTTTAGCAAATTATGGGCACCGAGTGAGTAGACGCCCAGACATGCTCTCCCCCAGCTACCCCACGGGGCAAGATGTCACGAATATAAATGTTAATAATTACTTCAATGTTTCAGTGGTTTCTCTTTTTTTTTTACGCTGTATTATTCAAAAGCATATAATTTTGGTAATTTTTATAGTTATTGTAAATGTGTAGAACATCCCAATACTAAAAAATATGGGGCTCATGTATAGTGACATGTATATTATTATATTCTAAGATCAGTGTTTTTCCTGTTATTACACTATATACAAGTGTTATATATAAATATCTACATTGTTTTGCACCATAACGAATCACTAAGCTGGTATAACATGTTCAAAGAGCATTCCACCACCACACACCAGTCAGCTGATGACGCTACCTCACTGGCAAAGATTGCTCCTCCCAACATACTGTTCTTGCAGTTAATACACTATATACACACACACACAAGTATCTACATTTATATGCACCATAATAAACTAATAAGTAGTTCTGGTCGGTATGGTGATGAAATCAAAACATGGAGCCACATGATATGAGCAGATGACGCCAGCAGTCCATGATGCAAGACGATGCCTCCAATATTCTACACAACTTGCTATGATTAGCTACAAAACTGCCGTTATTACCACATTCTTGTCACAAAATCCCGAAGACTAATCCATTTCCACATGGTTATATTGTGAATGAACACGATCATTTCCATGATGCGTAGATGCAGGAAGCAATGGCTGGGTGCTGTCTCTACCTCATGTCATGAATATCATAACAAGCATCGTATTCTCTGATATCTGAACATTGTACACAAGTCTATCAGTGTCAGGATCATCTATGACATTATCAACACAATACAGTAATTGCAGTTATCTACTTTATTCATCATTATTAAGCGCTATTGTGAGCTCCCGCTGCATTCGCCAGCCTTGATTGCTCTCAGTACTGAGGCTCTCACAACAAGTATGGATGCTTATTATTTTTAAGATGGCATCTGTTTAGTCCTGAGGCACAGGAGGTGAAGCCCCTCCCCTAATGTACCCACGGGAGTCTTGAATCGTTCCTATACCCAATAGCGCCTTTAGCCGCTCTGCGCACCCCCAATCAGGCACCTTAAGGTGTTCTGCGAAGTGCAGTGACAAAAGCGCTGTACAAGTGGTCAAAAAATTTTGAATTTAACAAAATTAACTTTTTAATGTTTTTTCCATTGTGATTAGAAATGAAAACTGACATTATTTTAACTTTTAAAAAATTCAGTTAATGTTAATAATTCATTAATCCACGCACCATGAAATTGTCACAAGAAACAGATGCACTGTGCAGGGATTAAGGGTTACTTTCATAAGACTACATACTGACCTGATAAGATAAGAGTATTTATATCAAGTAATTGACAGATGTTTGTTTGATAATTCCCAAGCTGTGTGTTCAACTTTCAAATGTTTTGGAGGCATCAAGGAAAAAAAAAACAGATCTTTCTTGCTAGTTGTAAGACTGAATAGTTTCCATCATAAAAAGCTGCACAGTGCTGTAGTATCCACTTGTATCCAAATAAACTCAAAAGGTTCCTAGTTCATCAGTAAGAAAACCAATGTATCTTAATTTGTTGAAAAATGTGTTCTTTGCAATGGCCTAATGTTTATTGGAAGAGGATATGATTGGCAGTTCTTTGGAATAGAAACGAATACAGAAAAAAGGGGATATAATAGCACAAGAGAATGCCAGAAAAACACAGCCTGCC